GGCTGGACCCTGGGCTCCCTGGGGACGTGGGGGGCTCCTTAAGGGACCCTGGGTTCTTCTGGGGAGGTGAGGAGGCTTTGGGGGGCCCAGGGCTCTCTGAGGACCTCCGTGAGTGGATCCTGGGTTCCTGAGGCCATGGTGGAGCTCCGTGGGGAGGTCCCAGGCTCTTGGGAGATGTTTAAGGGGTTAGGGGGGGAGTGTGGGCTCCCTGGGGAGGTGGGGGGCTCTGTAGGGGACCCTGGGCTCCTCTGGGGAGGTGAGGAGGCTTTGGGGGGCCCAGGGCTCCCTGGGGACGTGGTGGGGTGGGATCTGTGGGGATTTGGGGGCCCCAGATCTCCCTGGGGACCTCCAGGGGTGGATCCTGGGTTCCCTGAGGCCATGGTGGAGCTCCGTGGGGAGGTCCCAGGCTCTGGGGAGATGTTTAAGGGGTTAGGGGGGGGAGCGTGGGCTCCCTGGAGATATGGGGTGCTCTGTAGGGGGGGCACAGGGTGAGCTGGAGGCTAAGGGGGCTGTGGAGAGGACTGGGGCTCCCCAAAATGTGTGTGGGGAGTCAGCTGGGGGGTCTGGGCCTCGTTGGGCACAAGGTGGGGCAGTAGGATTCTTGGGCACCCAGGGCTGGATTGGAGGGGGGGGTCTGGGCTCCCTAGAGAAAATGTGGGGTGGGATCATGGTTGAGGGTGTAATTAGGGGGGATCTGGTGAAAAGTTGAAGGGGGAATCTCTGCCTTGGACTTGAGCGATTTCAGCATTGAGCTCTCAAGTTCTTGGAGAGCTGGGACTTTCCAGCTTCCTGGGGCTCATGGGTCTAACTGGGCTTTTCCTTTCCCCCCCCCTCAATTCCTTGCTCCAGATGCGACGGTGTACGTGGGGGGGCTGGATGAGAAGGTCAGCGAGCCCCTGCTCTGGGAGCTCTTCCTCCAGGCGGGCCCCGTGGTCAACACCCACATGCCCAAGGACCGAGTCACGGGCCAACACCAAGGTGAGAGATTCACCCCTTGCTCTCTCAAAAGCTGCACCTCGAAGCAAATATTTTAGGTGGGACCAGAGAGGGATTAATGTGGGGAGAAAGAAGAGGGATGGATTATCCCCAGGGAATAACATCTTCCTTCCCAAAAAGGGGAGCCTTGGGCTCTCTGGTTTTAAATCAAGTGGGGTTGGACGAGCTGTGGGAGGTCAAGGGAGTGCCCTCTTCTAAAGTTTCTCCCCCTCTGCTCTGCCCTGGGGAGGGCCCAGCTGGAGCACTGGGACCAGTTGTGGACCTGGGAGTCCTGGGGGACAGCAGGATGCCCAGGAGCCAGCAATAGGCCCTGGTGGCCAAGGAGGCCAATGGCATCTTGGGGGGCATCAAGAAGAGCGTGGAGAACCTCAAGGGAGGTCATCCTGCCCCTCTGCTCTGCCCTGGGGAGGCCCCAGCTGGAGCGCTGGGACCAGTTGTGGCCTCCCCAGTTGCAAAAGGACAGGGAACTGGTGGAGAGGAGCAAAGGGCTACGAGGATGATGAAGGAACTAGAACGTCTCTCTTAGGAGGAAAGGCTGAGGGACTTGGGGCTTTGGAGTCTGGAGAAGAGAAGGCTGAGGGGGGATCTGATCAACGCCTGGAAATCCTTCCAGGGTGGGGGTCAGGAGGATGGGGCCAGGCTTTTTCCAGTGGTGCCGGGCCAACACCAAGGTGAGGGATTCACCCCTCGCTCTCCCAAAAGCTGCACCTCGAAGCAAATATTTGAGGTGGGACCAGAGAGGGATTAATGTGGGAAGAAAGAAGAGGGATGGATTATCCCCAGGGAATAACATCTTCCTTCCCCAAAAAGGGGAGCCTTGGGCTCTTCTGGTTTTAAATCAAGTGGGGTTGGACAAGCTGTGGGAGGTCAAGGGAGTGCCCTCTTCTAAAGTTTCTCCCCCTCTGCTCTGCCCTGGGGAGGGCCCAGCTGGAGCACTGGGACCAGTTGTGGACCTGGGAGTCCTGGGGGACAGCAGGATGCCCAGGAGCCAGCAATAGGCCCTGGTGGCCAAGGAGGCCAATGGCATCTTGGGGGGCATCAAGAAGAGCGTGGAGAACCTCAAGGGAGGTCATCCTGCCCCTCTGCTCTGCCCTGGGGAGGCCCCAGCTGGAGCACTGGGACCAGTTGTGGGCTCCCCAGTTCCAGAAGGACAGGGAACTGGTGGAGAGAAGCAAAGGGCTACGAGGATGATGAAGGGACTAGAACGTCTCTCTTAGGAGGAAAGGCTGAGGGACTTGGGGCTTTTGAGTCTGGAGAAGAGAAGGCTGAGGGGGGATCTGATCAAGGCCTGGAAATCCTTCCAGGGTGGGGGTCAGGAGGATGGGGCCAGGCTTTTTCCAGTGGTGCCCAGGGACAGGACAAGAGGGAGCGGGCACAAACTTGAATATAAGAAGTTCCATCTCAACTTGAGGAGGAACTTGTTGACTTTGAGGGTGGCAGAGCCCTGGCAGAGGCTGCCCAGAGAGGTGGTGGGGTCTCCTTCTCTGGAGACATCCCAAACCCACCTGGACACGTTCCTGTGGGACCTGCTCTGGCAGGATCAGGAGATCATTAGATGCTCTCCAGATGTCCCTTCCATGTCATTCTGTCCCAAAACCTCTAAAATTAATTTGGTGTTTTCTCATCCTGGAGCGAGGAAGCTGCGAGTTGCTTTGGTTCCACCTATTTATTTATTTTATTTTCTCATTTTAGACGGACCAACTGCTTTAATGTTGGTATTTTCTTTTCTCTGGAGACATTCAAACCCCACCTGGATTTGATGCTGTGGGACCTGCTCTGGGTGGACCTGCTGGGGCTGGGGGTGGGAGGAGATGATCTCCAGAGGTCCCTTCCAACCCCAAATCCTTCTGTGCCTCCGTGTTTGTTGCAGGCTATGGCTTTGTGGAGTTCCTCAGCGAGGAGGACGCCGATTACGCCATCAAGATCATGAACATGATCAAGTTGTACGGGAAACCCATTCGAGTGAACAAAGCTTCTGCCCACAACAAAAACCTGGACGTGGGGGCCAACATCTTCATCGGCAACCTGGACCCCGAAATCGACGAGAAGCTTTTGTACGACACCTTCAGCGCTTTCGGGGTCATCCTCCAGACGCCCAAAATCATGCGAGACCCCGACACGGGCAATTCCAAGGGTTATGCCTTCATCAACTTTGCCAGTTTCGACGCTTCGGACGCGGCCATCGAGGCCATGAATGGACAATACCTCTGCAACAGGCCCATCACCGTCTCCTACGCCTTCAAGAAAGATTCCAAAGGGGAACGGCACGGCTCGGCCGCCGAACGCCTCCTGGCAGCCCAGAACCCCCTCTCCCAAGCCGACAGGCCCCACCAGCTCTTCGCCGACGCTCCTCCTCCTCCCTCTGTCCCCACTCCCGTTGTCACCACCCTGGGACCCGGCGTCACCCCTCCAGGTGGGTGAAAAACAGTGGTGGGGTCCGTCTCTGCCTCCCCTTGGTTGTCGGGGGGCTCTCACGTCGGTGCCAGTGCCTCGTGTGGGGCTGCTCCTTGTCTCCTGGGTGGCTCAGGGCAGTGACACCACGCCACGAGGGTCCTCTGTGGGACAATGGGTGGAAAACCCTCCCATGGAGCTGTAGGACCACGAGCTGTAGGACCATGAGGTATTCCCCGTGTGGAAGCAGTTCAGATCCTGCTTCTTACCCCAGGCTGGGGGCAGAGGGGCTGGAGCTGCCGGGCAGAAAAGGACCTGGGGGTGTTCACTGAATTTCACTGAATTTCACTGAATTTTTTAGAGTTGGAAGGGACCATAGAGATCATCTAGTCCAACTCCCCTGCTGAAGCAGGATTGCCCAGAGCTTGTCAGAGCATGTTACTCAGGAGCATCCAGGGGGGCTTGAAAGTCTCCAAAGAAGGAGAAAATCTCCACACCCTCCCTGGGCAGCCTGTTCCAGGGCTCTGCCACCCTCACCGTGAAGAAGTTTCTCCTCATATTTGAGTGGAACCTCTTCTGGTCCAACTTGTGCCCGTTGCCCCTCGTCCTCTCACTGGGAACCACTGAAAAGAGTCTGGCTCCCTCCTCCTTCAACCCTCCCTTGAGAT